GCGACTTCAAAAAAACAGGCGATTCTGCCCAGTGCTTGGACTTTGAAGAGTTCGTTCACTTCTTTCGCTTTTTGACCGATCGTCCAGACCTAAAGAGAGTTTTACGTAGGTATTGGCACTCAACGCCGTCGTTAGGCAAACGAGAGATGACGGTTGTGAGGCTTTTCAGGTTCTCGGCAAAGCACTGCGAATATTTTACGGTGAACGACCTTCAACGCTTTCTGCAGACTGAGCAAGGAGTAAAATCACGGATACGAAAGCCTTATGTGCAAACATATATATTTAAACCCGCATTTAGTTTGCAGACATAACGCTCAAAGAATGCCAAGAGCTGATCAAGAAGTACGAGTGCGAAGATTCTTTCGCCAAAGCGTCTCTGATGTCCCGTTACGGTAAGACGGTTTTAAATGATTAATTAAAAATTAATTTTTCATTATTTTGTTAAAATACATGTGATACTGGAGTAGTGGCATCATGCCTACGAGGTTGGCGGTGAACTAAGGGCATTCCATGTTAGAATCCGCTCAATGAATAACCTTTGTCCTAACCGTCTATTCCCGTGAATTAACTTCATGCTGCTTCAACACGAAATGGGCAGCAAGTTGCACCAGTGGTTCGCCATTTTCTTCATATCTCTCAGGCTAATCTAAATATGACAAAACGGTTCTGACGAAAAGGATGAAAGGGCTAACTGGAGTGAGGAAGATGCATCTTTAGTGCTGATTCCTGAAACACCACATCGTTCACTCCTTAATGGAAGGACAATCACTCATGGACTAGACTAATAGAAGACCCGGAAGAGTCAAGCAGATCATTGAAAGAAAGAAGAGCGTCCTTCACATCATTTGCAAGACAGCAAAGTCCGACATGATAACGCCGTTCATGGTGTCAAGATGACTTTTTTCGTCATTAAATATCTTGATAAGTGAAAAAGCATTTTTTGATCTGACGGAAGTGCGAATTATCATAAAATGTTTTCTTGAGATAAGTCCTCATATGATTTGAGGTTTTTGAATTTGTACCCGATGTTCGACTGCGTTGAATTAGGAGGGGGAGGAAAATCGCAGGTGGCCTGGAGGGGATTATGGAGGGCTGGAAGACAGTGCAGTGAAGTATACAAACCAGAAAATGCAGGAACAAGAGAATGGGTAGCCAAAACCAAATTTGATGTCCACAACCATGAATTAGCAAATCAAGTTCAGTAGGACAACTTATTAACTTGTAACTTCTGTTATACTCTATCTGGCTTGACCTCATTGTCCTGAAGTAACACTGTCTGCTTTTCCTAGGTTTAAGGAAGTTGCTGTACACCAAGTATGGCACGATCTTTAACCCCGAGCTGAAGAAAATATACATGAACATGACGCTGCCGCTACCGAACTACTTCATTTGCTCCACTCATAACACGTATGAGCTCGTTGCTAAGTTATTGCGACGAAAATCTTACTGTTCCTCTGATTAGGTACCTTTGTGGCCATCAGCTTGTTGGCGATGCCACTATCGAAGGCTATATCATGGCACTGAAGAAGGGAGCGAGGCTGCTCGAAAGTGAGGTTTCGGTTTTTTGCGCACATCTCGTATTGTTCAACAGTAACTGCGCTGTTTCAGTTGATATGTACGATGGTGCCGAGGCACCGGTTGTGACTCATGGCCGTACGTTGGTGAAGCCTGTTCTGTTGCAGGACGTTTTGCACTCCATAAGAACGTTTGGATTCTCTATATCGCCGTAGGTCACTTTCTTTCTCAGCTACATCTGTGCTCTTTGTTACGTTGCTCCCAAGAACTTCGTTGACAGTCAAGATCTTTACGCAACGGCATAACCTGCCGTGCCAATAGATGGACTGAGGCGATAAAAATTCGTTTGTCAATCGCATGAACAGTAAAAACGAGCCATTCCGGCGACCGATATTGTTTGGAGGACTGATATGTTAAGATATGGAGACAGCGAGCTGTTGTAGTTCTGTATTTGCCAGCTATTTAAATTAACAACTTTCTCTCCTGGCGGTAGTGTTTCGCTATCCTCGCATTGCCACAGCTTTTAGGCCCCTGATAAGTGGAAAACCTTATTGTATTCGTGGAAGCCTTTTTTGAGTTGAAGTAGAACGGTTTCATAAGAGTTTTCCAACATTTCACTTTCCATTCGACTAGACAAACTATTCAGACTGGGTTTCAGGGTGTGACGATGTAAGATGTTCCGTACTATAACCTTATGGCTTTTCTGAGAACATCCATCTTTCACATCCTCTTCCAAAAGTTTTACCACGTACCTTAACCGTCGGTGCAGTGACAAGGAAACAGTCCATTCGACTACCCTTCGAATAACATAACGCAGCAATAAAGTACGTTGCATTTTATCAACTGTTTACCGTATCATTTTTTCTGTACGAACGTGTCATTTAGACATTAGACCAATTTAGATATCCCCTTATATTGTCTCTGGAAAATCACTGCAGCCAGGATCAGCAAGATGTCGTCGTGAACATCTTCGAAGAAATTCTTGGGGACAAAATCTACCGATGGAAACAACAGTCTACTTTCCCGTCGCCAGAACAACTGAAAGAGAAAATCCTCATCAAAGTAGGTTCAGTAATTAAATGCATTGCAAAACTTTATAAGTAATGAATTTGAATTAACTTTATTAGCATTGAATCATTGTAGTGCAAACCGACGCCAGTGAAGAGGTTCTCGGATTTAATTAGCATCGTGCCTTCGAAGGTGACGGATTACGTTGCCTTGAAAGCAGAGTGTATAACATAAATATTAAAATCATTTACCAGAAGTAACTTTCTTTTCAGATCCGGTGAACTGCATGATCAGTAAGACGGAGGACGAGTTTCAGCAACTCGCCGAATGCGATGCCGAAGACTTAATCAGGTTTACGTCAAAGTACCTGATGAAGGGCTATCCACGAGGCACGCGAACGGCTTCAACAAACTTCAATCCGGTTCCACAGTGGCTATGTGGCATTCAAGCAGGTCGAAATCGTATTCAATATTACGGAACGAGCTCCAGGTTTTCGCTGCTAGGGTTGGGTTGGCTTTACCCTTGTCGATCTGTATTAAATGTAGTTACATTCTGCTCGAAATTACTACATCGATCCCCCTCCCCATCAGCTGGTTGGTCACGGCAGTAAGGAAACTAATAGAGAAATTTGACATTTATTTTTGATTCTTGGCCAAGAATTGAAGGAGCAACTAACTTACACATTCATGGTTCGAGTCAATTTGAAATACATACAATGATTTACGAAGTTATGCTTCTTTTTATCGACAACCGTGACGTCATCAGGTGTCAAATATACAACAAAATAAGATATTTAGCAAGTTTTTTCCTTTACACCAATTCCACGGTAGCGTAAGACGGAAGGATGCTTTATACATACGGATTTCTGGCGAATTTGGATAGCTACCATGTGGTAGGTACCCTGAAGATTTCAGTTACCATTTGGTACAAATAAAATATCATACAGCTTGAAGGCCTTAACTTCCGGCGTTTGTTGGCAAATTTTTCCCTTGTAATCATTAGCTCTTAACCCAGTTGGTCCCGTTTCATCGACAGAGGTCTAACTGTCTTTTGTCTATCATGCAGCTGTCAGATCAGGTTACAGACTCCGTCTCAGGTTTTTCTTACGTAAAAAGGCTGTTGAACATTCGTCGCCGTAAGCTCTTGAGTCTTCCCAGAATTCAAACAGCTAGTTGCACCGTCCTCTGGCCTCTAGTAGCCTAGTGGATCGTTCAAGCAGGTCAACGGAATCAATATTTTAGTTCTGCGTGCACGAGCGCAAAACAGCACCACTTGTTCTGTCGAACTAAAGTATTTTCGAATACCAACGCAGATACCTCGATCCATGGGCACACATAACAATCGTAATGCTGATATCATGGGCTTGATAGTAAACTGTTTCATTGCACATGTGCTCCTTCTGTTCTGGTCTGTCTCTTTACCGCTAATAAGTTTAACCTGATATTGTCTCAGGGCGGCCAAGAAGTTCGTAGAACTTTCCTCAGAACTCAGGTCATCTTCGGCCAGGATTGGAAACGTTGAAGAAACCCTGTGGCGCTTCTGCGTCCGCGATACAAGAGAATAAACAGAGGTCAAAATTACATACCGTACTGTCCCTTCTACTACCGAAACTACGGCATGCAAATGAATAAGGACTTTAGAAAGTCACCACAACATATTAGATCTTTAATTTATATTGTTTTGATTTTCTGCCTTTGATATACAACTTGTTTCAGTGTGTCTCAATGTTCAAACTGCGGACGAAGCCACCGATCTCAACGCTGCCATGTTCGAACTGAATGGTCGCACCGGATTCGTACTAAAGCCCGAATTCATGCTCAAGCGTAAGTAAACTTCGTTGAGGCAGAAGATGGCAATGCATTAAATCATTTTGTTTCAACAAGTCATTTTGCGAAAAGAGAAATAATCAGCGGAGGAATCACACGCCAGAGGGACACTTAAAGTTGTCTCCTCATCGCAACAGTATCATAGTAAATGTTAATCATCTTCGAAATGGGAGCGGCGTTTGTACAATTAACTAAACTAGAGCTAGAGAGAATGAAACTGTCTACGTTACCCAAGCCAGAAATGTCATTATGAATTATACATATTGCCGGTCAACCATGAATCTTTATTTCTTGTAACAAGCCTATAAACAGACAGGATTTTAAGAAAAATCACAATGAGAGAGACGTTAACAAATAGGCCATCTTGCAAATGATCACACAACTCACATACTGCGCTAAGGACTAATCGATGGTTGGTGGACAGCACAGTCGACAACTGAACTTTCCGAGGTTGTAGGTGTTTGAGGAGGAAAATTCGAGAACCGGCACTGCAGGTGTTTATTCCGTCTTGAAGCGTCTGCATAAGCAGAACTTCTCTGGTCTATTTTTGCTGTATCTGCAGCTTTTCGACACTTAAGCTACACATGTTACTGAATCTCAGAAAAAAATATGCTTCCACGAAGGCAGATTGCCTGCATTCTCCTTGTACGCTGGCCTCCTGATCAACGCCCGCCCATGTTCTAGCACTCACACGAGAAGCTCTGAGGCTGAAATAAATGGATTCTGTTTAACCAATTTGTCTTCACAACTTTTATTGAGGTCACCTGTGTCTGGAAGAGAACGGGGTCATTCGTTAGGTGATCCTGTCAGTTAGCCCTTTGTGTCAAAGCAAGTACGGTTCTCTGCAGTTCAGCCGTCACCCTTGCTCCTTCGTTAAAACAACTCTCCATGCCGTACAACACCGACCTGACAGAGGCAAACCACTGCCGATATCTTGTGGAAAGAGTTATTCACTTCTTAACCCAAATATTGGAGAGGTCTTTTAGACTCTAGATTGTCATTTTATTTTTCTTTTGCACGGATTTGCAGCATCATTTATCTTCGAGGCTG